CTATCCTAAATATACATGCACCTAAAACAGGAGCACCCAGATTCATGAAGCAAGTTCTTAGACACTTACAAAGACACTTATACTCCCACACAACAATAGTGGGAGATACCCCACTGTCAATATTAGACAGATCAACAAGACAGAAAATTAACAAGGATATTCAGGACTTGAACTTAGCTCTGGGCCAAGCAGACCTAATAGACATCTACAGAACTCTCCACCCCAAATCAACAGAATATACATTCTTCTCAGCACCACTTAGCACTCATTCTAAAACCGACCACATAATTGGAAGTAAAACACTCCTCAGCAAATGTACAAGAATGGAAATCATAACAAACAGTCTCTCAGACCACAGTGAAATCAAATTAGAATTTAGGACTAAGAAACTCACTCAAAACCTCACAAGTACATGGAAACTGAACAACCTGCTCCTGAATGACTCCTGGGTAAATAATTAAGGCAGAAATCAAGAAGTTCTTTGAAACCAATGAGAACAAAGACACAATGTATCAGAATCTCTGGGACACAACTAAAGCAGTGTTTAGAGGGAAATTTATAGCACTAAATGCCCAAAGGAGAAAGCAGGAAAGATCTAAAATTGATACCCTAACATCACAATGAAAGGAACTAGAGAAGCAAGAGCAAACAAATTCAAAAGCTAGCATAAGACAAGAAATAACTAAGATAAGAGCAGAACTGAAGAAGACAGAGACATGAAAAGCCCTTAAAAAAATCAATGAATCCAATAGCTGTTTTTTTGAAAAGATTAACAAAATACATAGACTGCTAGCCAAATCAATAAAGAAGAAAAGAGAGAAGAATCAAATAGACACAATAAAAAATGATAAACAGGATATCACCACTGATTCCACAGAAAAATAAACTACCATCAGAGAATACTATAAATGCCTCTATGCAAATAAACTAGAAAATCTAGAAGAAATGGATAAATTCCTGGACACATACACCCACCCAAGACGAAATCAGGAAGAAGCCAAATCCCAGAATGGACCAATAACAAGCTCTGAAATTGAGACAGTAATTAATAGCTTACCAACAAATAAAGGTCCAGAACCAGATGGATTCACAGCTGAATTCTACCACAGGTACACAGAGGAGCTGATACCACTCCTTCTGAAACTATTCCGAAGAATAGAAAAAGAGGGACTCCTCCCTAACTCACTTATGAGGCCAGAATCATTCTGATACCAAAACCCGGTAGAGACACACACACAAAAAGAAAATTTCAGGCCAATACCCTGATGAACATCAAAGCAAAAATCTTCAATAAAATACTGGCAAACTGAACCCAGCAGCACATCAAAAAGCTTATCCATCTCAGTCAAGTCAGCTTCATCCCTGGGATGTAAGGCTGGTTCAACATATGCAAATCAATAAATGAAACCATCACACAAACAGAACCAATGACAAAAACCACATGATTATCTCAATTATCTCGATAGATGCAGAAAAGGCCTTTGATATAATTCAACAACCCTTCATGCTAAAAGTATTGATGGAACATATTGATGGTACTTATGGAACATATTGATAGTATTGATAGAATATATCTCAAAATAATAAGAGCTATTTATGACAAACCCACGGCCAATATTATAATGAATGGGCGAACGCTGGAAGCATTCCCTTTGAAAACTGCCACAAGACAAGGATGCCTTCTCTCACCACTCCTATTCAACATAGTATTGGAAGCCTTTGCCAAGGAAATCAAGAGAAAGAAACAGAGTATTCAAATAGGAAGAGAGGAAGTCAAATTGTCTCTGTTTGAAGATAACATGACTGTGTATTTAGAAAACCCTATCATCTCAGCCTAGAAACTCCTTAAACTGATAAGCAGCTTCAGCAAAGCCTCAGGATACAAAAATCAATATGCAAAACTCCCAAGCATCCCCATACACCAATAATAGACAAACAGAGAGACAAATCACAAGTGAACTCCCATTCACAATTGCTACAAAGAGAACAAAATACCTAGGAATACAACTTAGAACTCTTCAAGGATGTCCTTGAACCACTGCTCAAGGAAATAAGAGAGTACACAAACATATGGAAGAACATTCCAGGCTCATGGATAGAAAGAATCAATATCATGAAAATGGCCATATTGCCCAAAGTAATATACTGATTCAATGCTATTCCCATCAAGGTCCCATTTGAGTTTCTTCACAGAATTAGAAAAAACTACTTTAAATTTCATATGAAACCAAAAAAGCCTGTATGGCCAAGACAATCCTAAGCAAAAAGAACAAAGCTGGAGGCATCACGCTACCTGCCTTCAAACTATACTACAAGGCTACAGTAACCAAAACAGCATGGTACTGATACCAAAACAGATATACCAATAGAACAGAACAGAGATCTCAGAATTAACGCCACACATCTACAACCATCTGATCTTTGACAAACCTGACAAAAACAAGCAATAAGGAAAGGATTCCCTACTTAATAAATGGTGGTGGAAACATTGTACTTCTTCTAAATTGACCACATAATTGGAAGTAAAATACTCCTCAGCAAATGCAAAAGACCGGTAATCCTAACAGTCTCTCTGACCACAGTGCAATCAAATTAGAACTCAGGATTAAGAAACTCACTCAAAACAGCACAGATATATGCAAACTAAACAACCTGCTCCTGAATGACTACTGGATAAATAATGAAATGAAGGCAGAAATAAAGATGTTCTTCAAAACCAATGAGAACAAAGATGACAATGTACCAAATCCCTGGGACACATTTAAAGCAGTGTCTACAGGGAAATTTATAGCACTAAATGCCCACCAGAGAAGTGACGAAAGATATAAAATTGACACCCTCACATCATGATTAAAAGAACTAGAGGAGCAAGATCAAACCAACTCAAAAGCCAGCAGAAGGTAAGAAATAACTAAGATAAGAGCAGAACTGAAGGAGATAGAGACACAAAAAACCTTTCAAAAAATCAATAAATCCAGGAGCTGGTTTTTTGAAAAGATCAACAAAATAGACTGCTAGCCAGACTAATAAAAAAGAAAAGAGAGAAGACTCAAATAGATGCAATAAAAAATGATAAAGGGGATATCACCACTGATTCCACAGAAATGTAAACTATCATCAGAGATTACTACCAACACCTCTATGCAAATAAACCAGGAAATCTAGAAGAAATAGATAATTTCCTGGACACTTACACCCTCCCAAGACTAAACTAGGAAGAAGCCGAATTCCTGAATAGCTTAATAACGATATCTGAAGTTGAGGCAGCAGTTAATGGCCTGCCAACCAAAAAAAGTCCAGGACCAGACGGGTTCACAGCTGAATTCTACCAGAGGTATAAAGAGGAGCTGGTACTATTCCTTCTGAAACTATTCCAAACAATACAAAAAGAAGGAATCCTCCAAAACTCATTTTATGAGACCAACATCATCCTGATACCGAAACCTGGCAGAGATGCAACGAAAAAAGAAAATTGCAGGTCAATATCCATGATGAACATTGATGCAAAAATCTTCAATAAAATACTGGCAAACTGAATCCAACAGCACATCAAAAAGCATCATGATCAAGTCGACTTCATCACAGGAATGCAAGGCTGGTTCAGCATCCACAAATCTATAAATGTAATCCATCACATAAACAGAACCAAAGACAAAAATCACATGACTATCTCAATAGATGCAGAGAAGGCCTTCAACAAAATTCAACAGCCCTTTATGCTAAAAACTCTCAATAAAGTAGGTATCAATGGATCATATCTCAAAAGAATAAGAGCTTTTTATGACAAACCCACAGCCAATATCATAATGAATGGGCAAAAACTGGAAGCATTCCTTTTGAAAACTGGCACAAGACAAGGATGCCCTCTCTCAGCACTCCTATTCAACATAGTATTGGAAGTTCTGGCTAGGGCCATCAGGCAAGAGAAAGAAATAAAGGAAGAGAGGATGTCAAATTGTTCCTGTTTGCAGATAACATGATTGTATATTTAGAAAACCCCATTGTCTCAGCCCAAAATCTCCTTAAGCTGATAAGTAAGTTCAGCAAAGTCTCATAATACAAAATCAATGTGCAAAAAAATCACAAGCATTCCTATACACCAACAGTAGACAAACAGGAGCAAAATCATGAGTAAACTCACATTCACAATCGCTACAAAGAGAAGAAAATACCTAGGAATACAACTAACAAAGGATGTGAAGAACCTCTTCAAGGAGAACGACAAACCACTGCTCAAGGAAATAAGAGAGAACACAAACAGATGGAAAAACATTCCACGTTCATGGTTAGGAAGGATCAGTATCGTGAAAATGGCCATACTGCCCAAAGTATTATTTATACTTTACATGTATTTTAATGATAATTATATCTTTTCACTGTTTAACAAAAACAAGTATGAAACAAAGTAAGGAAATAAATATAAATTTAGGGAAGTAGTTGCTGGGGTACAGCAATGAGCATGGCATAGGGGAAATGAATGCATTTAAAAACCGGGACTCAGGGCTGGGCGCGGTGGCTTACGCCTGTAATCCCAGCACTTTGGGAGGCCGAGGCGGGTGGATCACCAGGTCAAGAGATCAAGACCATCCTGGTCAACATGGTGAAACTCCATCTCTACTAAAAATACAAAAATTAGCTGGGCATGGTGGTGCAATCTGTAGTCCCAGCTACTTGGGAGGCTGAGGCAGGAGAATTGCTTGTACCCAGGATGCAGAGGTTGTGGTGAGCCGAGATTGCGCCATTGCACTCCAGCCTGGGTAACAAGAGTGGAACTCCGTCTAAACAACAACAACAACAAAAAAATTGGGACTCCATGTGGTCTTAAATAGTGGTATTAAAATGTTCTATTTCTTGGGGGAATGGGTCCACATGTCTGTTGTATTCTTTTGCTTAATAATTTGCTTATATGTCATATGTATGCTTTTGTATATATTGAATAATACATAATAAAAACATTTCTTTAAAAGGCCATTCAGGTCTAGCAGTACCATTCAACTCACCAGAATGCATCTGACTGTGTGAACAGCACTTGGATCTTTATGGTTGGCTGCCCAGTGAAGTGGGATTTTGCCTTCAACATCAGGAATCCCAATGTTAGAATCATGCTTGATGAGCAGCTTCACGTGTTCAGGGTTATTGTAGTAGGCACTCCAATGCAGAGCTGTTTGCTGCAAAATAGAGAGGTTTTCAAACTACCAACAGTAACCACAACAACTAACTTTCCCCAAGATTTTATTGTGGGACAGGCACTGTTATAAGAATTTTATACAATAGATCCCCCTTATCCTTTGTTTCACTTTTCATGGTTTCAGGTCCCTGTGTTCAACTGAAGTCTAAAAATATTAAATAGAACATTCCAAAAATAAACAATTCATAAGTTTTAAATTGTGTGCCATTCTGAATAGCATGATGAAATAGTGCTTCATCCCATGCTATCCTACCTAGGACACAAATCCTTCCTTTGTTCAGCATATCCCCACTGCAGACACTCCCTGCCACTTAGCAGTCAACTCAGTCATCCCATCGTCACGATATTAGAATCACAGTGCTTGTGTTTAAGTCATCCTTCTCTTACACAATGGCCCCAAAGCTCAAAATTATTGATACTGGTGATTCAGACATGCCAAAGAGCAGTGTCTATAAAGTGTTTCCTTTAAGTGAAAAGGTGAAAGCTCTCAACTTAAAAAGATTAAATTGTTTCTTGAGTTTGTTAAGATCTATGACAAAAACAAATCTGTGAAACTGTGAAGAAGGAAGAAGAAGTTCATGCTGGTTTTGCTGTTGCACATCAAACTGCAAAAATTATGGCCACTGTGCCTGATAACTGCTTAGTTAAGATGGAAAAAGCACTACATTTGTGGGTGGAAGACATGAACAGAAATGTCTTCCTATTGATGGAAATTGGGTTTGGCACTATGCATAGTTTCAAGTATCCTCTAGGGGTGTTGGAATATATTTTCTTTGAATAAGGGGGACCATTGTCTATTTAATTGCTGTAGTCATCTTACTATCTCTGGGAGACAAGTATGTTTTTAAATTTGCATGTGATTTTTGAGGAAATAATAGCACATTTAAGTAATCTGCTCAGGGACATAAGTGGCTGAACTGAGATTTTAACCCAGGCAGTCTGACTCCAGAATCTGACCTCTTAGTCATGACAGTTATTTAGTTCATCTGGTACTGATAACACTGAGAAAGAGAAAGCAGCCCAGTTATTTATGAATAATCATCAATAAAGTAAGTGATGATCTTGATAATGTACATCTGGTTATCACCAAGCACCTTAAGAACTTGATAGGATGTTCTGAATTTTAATATCCATAAAAAAATCCATGCATAGGAAATTAATGCATCTGGAACTCACTCCATATATCAGAAGATAAATTTTAATTTAGCAATTTAGCTATAATTTTACAGGATAAATTATTAGACCCAGTTATTAACAAAAAGATATATTTTGAAAAGATAGTAGCATTGCTTTTGTCAACCTAAACAACAGAGAGTCTCTCTAAAAGGAAATAATGTTTGGCCGGGCACTGTGGCTCATGCCTATAATCCCAACACTTTGGGAGACCAAGGCGGGTGGATCACTTGAGGTCAGGAGTTCGAGATCAGCCTGGGCAACATGGTGAAACCCCGTCTCTATTAAAAATACAAAAATTAGTTGGGCGTGGTGGCACATGCCTGTAATCCCAGCTACTTGGGAGGCTGAAGCATGAGAATTGCTTGAACCCAGGAAGTGGAGGTTTCAGTGAGCTGAAATCATAACACTGCTCTCCAGCCTGGGTGATAGAGTAAGAGTCTGTCAAAAAAAAAAAAAAAAGAAAGGAAAGAAAGAAAGACAGTGAGAGAGAGAGAGAGAGAGAGAAAGAGAGAGAGAGAAAAAAAAAA